TTTTTTTTTTTTTAATAGACCCAAATAAGAAATTTAAAGAGAAAAGTGAAAAAAAATTGTTGCAGAAGTGTGGGCGAGGTCGTGATCATGGCCGTGGTGGAGAATGCTGGGATTTGCGTAGAGTCGTCATCGAATCGGGCCGACCCGAATGGCCCGCCGGAGAATACCTCTGTGAATCATAACCACTCGCAGTTTACAAAGGCCGCTGCTAATCAGAAGTCAACAAAACCCACCGATAATGGTTATCACCTGATACAGTCAAACGGCCATCATCATCCGCAGCATAGAACAAACGGTGATGGAGCCACGAAAGCTCTTCTTATCAATAATCCGGTTGAGAGGAAATTGAATAGCGGAGATGATGGAGACGAGGGGTTTAAGAGGGAGATGAGGGATTTAGCGGAAATGCTATCTAAATTGAATCCCATGGCTGAGGAATTTGTGCCGCCATCACTGGCTGTGAACGGCACTGGTGGTCACCACAGACTGATGATAGCCTCACCACATGATGCGGCCGCTGGGTTCTTCGGTTACAATGCTAACGGTTTTGTAATGCAGCAGCCTGTTAACTCAGGAGTTCTAAACGGGAATTCTTCTAGAAAGGTGGGTTTTTTTCTCTAGTGTGTGTGTGTGTGTATATGATTGTTAACAGTTTTTCAAAGTAAAATTTCTTTTGTTGAGTATTATTATTTATGGATTATTGTCTATTTTGTAAAAAAAAACTATGCGGAAATATAAAGAATGGAATTAGGAATATCTGATAGAAGATAGCAGCAATATAAGGATTGTTGAGGTTCATTTTGTTTAGATCGGTACTTTGGGCATTTATTTTTTCTTTTATTTTAAAGCAGCTATATTCCCAGTTAAATTATTTTTATCATGTAGTTTGTTATTAACATTTGTAATAGGATTGAAGTATGGCATCTGGTTTGTTGATTGAGTTTGTATGACAATTGATATACAGAAGAAAAATGGCTATGGCCATGGGAAGCGGAGGATTAATAGCAGAACAGGCATGGCACAGAGGGAAGATGTAATTAGGAGGACAGTGTATGTTTCTGACATCGATCATCAGGTAAAGAGAGTATAGGTGTGCAGGCTTGTGTTATTTTAGATACTCAAATTATTTCTGTTAAGGAAGACTATATCACACTTTGTTTATCTTTTTTT